TGTTCATACTCCAACAGCGCCAGTCCGAGCGAGAGCGGGGCAGTGTATGCGAACATGCGATCAAAGGAGCGACGCATCTGCTCGGCTGTGCCTAGAGAGTGGCGCATCTGCACAGGAGTCAAGCCTTGCTGGACCATGTCCACCAGACGCGCACTGCCCGTGCTCCATTCGCGCAGATGAGCAGCTTCGTGCTTGACTTGAGCATTGAAATGGGAGATGAAGAGATGCGACAGCTGGGCGGCGGCAGCAGCAGCAGCAGCATTCTCAGCGTCGGCCAGGGCGAGTTTGGTCATGGCGGTGTGCGCGCGGGTGTGCGCGAGTCGCGATCGAGTGCTGATGGTGATGGGTGTGCGCGAGTGGGTGGGTGGCTCGACGCGCTTGCGGGTGCTCGCACCAGGCTATCAGTCGATGCCGTGCCACATCTCTTGGGCAGGCTGCCTGCTCGATCAGACCATCAAATCCTGTTGATCAACGTGTTGACGCAACCGAGACATTTGCGTTGAACCTTTGCTCCCGCCGCGGTGCTCTACACGCACGCTGCTGCTGCTGATGTGTATATATATGTATAGGTAGATGACGTTCATCACGCAAAAATGCGCCAGACGAGTCGCGGCGAGACGAGTCGCGAGAAGAATTAATGCGCGCGCGCGCGAGCGGCTGAAGGCGTAAATTGACGCGCAGGGAGATGAGTCACGTGATCATCTATCTGCCTGCCTGGAGCGATTTCACGATTTCACGATTTCACGATTCGCCATTCAATTTCTCGCAACAAGCGCGTTGCGTTGATGCTTCCTTGTATACGCACGCGGCCGGTGCCCCGCACCCGCACCCTCATCATCGCAGAGCAGCAGCAGTTGGTCCAACCGTCTGCTGCGCCACATTCCCCCCCTCCACGACATTTGATTCTCCTCGACGTTTGCTCTTGGCACGGGCACGCACGACTTGCATGTGAGACGATTCTCTCTTACAGCCGCCACTTTGTCCACCCTGCAGCGCAGCGCAGCGCAGACAGACACGCGCGCACCCGCATACATACACACACACACCCCATGCCATTCCCAGCACACGAACGCATCCACGCAATTATCGTGGGGAGGAGACAGGCATGGCGCACTTGGCAGGACCCTCTTCTGGAGGTGTTCCTTGGCACTTTCATCCGGTGAGCGGGCGCGAGAGAGGGAGAGCGTGCGAGGGGGGAGAGCGCGCGAGAGGGAGGCAGAAAGTGCGAGAGGGAGAGCGTGCGAGAGGGATGGAGAGCGTGGGAGAGGGTTAGGAGACACCACCGCTCACGCTCACACTCACGCTCACGCTCACGCCCACGCCCACGCTCCTCCACAGCGAATATTGAGCCACATTGGCAACAATTTCACTGTCCATCAGCTCAAAGAAAGCCTGAGGGACTTGGGCTTGCGCATCTCGGGCAACAAGCCAGAGCTGCACAATAGGCTTCGCGACGCCATACAGGATTACCACCATCGAGGGGATGCTGCCAGGTGGGAAATGGCAAGACGCGTAGTCGCCTCTCTGACGACAAATGGCCCGTTCGACTGGATGAAGGATATTCAGAATGCTCCCGTCAAGCAGCCGGCTGCTCCTGGGCATAGTGGCGGTGCACCGGCGCCGTCCAACGTCGCGGCGAGTGCCACGCGCAGCGCACCATCGACGCAGCCGAATTTCAAAGCCTCGCCGTTCTATCGCATTCACGAGTGGGCATCCGCGTCTACATTGTTGCTGCCGTGCACACCCTCGGAAGGCAGAAAGGCGGCATTGCTGAGGATGAACGTCAGAGCAGATCACGCGCAACTGGTCAAGGATCAGCCGGACAAGTACAAGTATCGGCTATTCATCGCACCGAAACCCGCATGGGATGCTTCCGCTTCTCGAACAGGCGCAGCGCATCCATGCTTTATCGATTTCCCATTTGGCTCGGAGCTGTTTGTCAATTCCACCAAGTATGCAGGTGCGCTCAAGGGCAGCAAGAAGCATGCGGGCAGGGTGCCACCGCCGGATCTCAGCAAGGGCTTGCTGTTCATGGATCCCAACAAGCCGAATTCCATCGAGGTGCGGTATCAGACGGATAGGTCGGGCAATTATGCACCCACTTCGCATGCCATGGCCATTGCCCTGTGTAGGGTCACCTCGGCAGAAGAGTTGGCAGCGAATCTAGCCAAGGAAAGAACGTACAGCAAGGAAAAGGTCATTGCTGGAATGAAGCGAGCGGCAGACGACGACGAGATCGAAGCGGGTGCGCAAACCTTTAGGTTCAAATGCCCGCTCAGCTACATGACCATCAAGACTCCTGCGAGAGCGACGACGTGTCCGCACGTGCAGACGTTTGATGCTGGCGCGTTTTACAGTCTCAATGAGACGTCGCCCGTGTGGCAGTGTCCCGTGTGTTCCAGCGATATCCGTCACGAGGATCTGTTTGTCGATGGGTGAGTGTGGTCGCGCCAACGAGAGCCACCGAGTCGCTCGAGCCACCGAGTCGCGATCGAGCCACCGAGTCGCGCTCGAGCCACCGAGTCGCGCGCTCCAGCTCACACTTGCACCGCCGTCTCGACAGTTTTTGCAAGGACATTTTGGAGCGCGTACCGGAATCTGCAGAGCGCGTACTCATCGAGCCGGATGGCAAGTGGAGGACGGAAGATGGCAGGATTACATCGACGTCGACGGAAGCGGATTTGAAGCCTGCTGCGGAGGAACCACATTCTGGCGTCGTCCAACGCAATGGCAGCAGAGACACGCCATCGAGCACATCGACGAGGAAGCGACAGCGCACGCCAGACGTCATGGTGCTGGATGATTCGCCCGAGCTTGCCGCTTCTGCGCACGAGGTCGCCGCTTCTGCGCATGGAGTCGCCGCTTCTGCCCACATTATCGATCTGACGCTCGATTCGGACGACGACGACGATCGACCTCTATCTGCCACCGTACGTCCACCACCTGCGCGAGCTCGACAGTCGTCGGACACGCCACTTGCGAGCGGCAGCGGAATCGCAAACGCAAACGCGATCGCGCACGCGCACGCGCCGACACCACGTCTTGCTGCTCCTTTGCGACCCGCTGCGCTTCCCCAGCATTTGGCGAGGCAGGTCAACGCTGCGGGCAGGTCGTTGCCGCGCCACGAGAGCAGCGCAATGTCGAGTGCTTCGAACGGCGTGCACGACGATGCGGGACCGAGCGCGGGCACGATGGCAAGCAATCCACCGGAAGAAGACGAGGAACCGTTGAGAGCGGGCAAGCGACAGAAACCAAACGGTAGCGGAAATGCCAACTTGACTGCAGACGATTCGATGGAATTGAGCATACGTGGGAGGGCAGCAGCTCGTTCTGAGGCCTCCGCCACCGCCGCCGCCGCCGCCGATAGCAGCGCAACCGGATCTTTTCATTCTGCGAGGTCATGGGACGCTACTGGTGCGACAAACTATCCATTAGGATCGTCAAACTTGCCACATCGCGGCGAAGCTTGGGATATGGTGGATGAAGACGAGGAAATGGAAGCGGCGCTCAGGTGGGACGATGCGAATGATGACATGGATGTGGGAGCGACGCGCACGCGCACGTTTTTGTAGTCTCGCTCGCAGCACTCGCGCTACGCAGGAACGGCCTCGATGACGGACATGATGCTTCGCGTGCGGTACGTCTTGCTGGGTCTCCACCCTGCTTTCTCCAACAAGGCATTGTACTCCGACTCTGTTCGTTCATGCGATCCAGCGACGGCGCCCAGGTGCACCGAAAGCACATTGGCGTAGCGCGAATCGTCGCCAAACACGACGACTTCGAGCAGCAACACTTTCGAATCCGGTTTCGCTTTGCTTCGAAGCGCCTTGAGAATGTCGATGCAGATGGAATCGGCCCAATCGTGCAATACAAAGCGCAAAAAGTAGATTTGCGCTGCAGCTGCAGTGTCGTCTGGTTGCACTTTCAAAAAGTCGTGGCTGGGGGAGTGGGCGTGAGTGGGCGTGAGTGGGCGTGGGGCGTGAGCGGGCGCGAGTGGTGACGCGAATGGCACTCGCGCACTCGCGCACTCGCGCAACTCACGCTCGCAATTGTACTCTGGCTGTCCAAGGTGGAGGCATGCCCGCCCAGACGTGCTTGGCATCATTGATGACCGGCTCCGTGTCTTGAATTTGAATCTTGAGGTGGTCCCAACGCGCAACGAGCGGGATCGTCTGACCGCCTACACCGCCACCAATGTCCACGACCAGACCCGTCACGTCTTTCCAAGGGTAATCTTCCGTAGGTCCGCCAGCAATGATGGGGGAGAGGGATTGCATGGCCAGATTGAAGCGTTGAATTCGACGCGCGTCTCCATCGGTGGCATACAGCGCAAACAGATCAGGCTGCTGGTACTTGATGGAAATGCCGCTCTTGCCTGCATTTTCCCTCTTTACGAGCTCGGGCACGAGTTGAACGGCTTGATTGGCTTCATCACGCGCATACTCTATCATGCTGCCCATCGGGATGGGCGATTCCTTGCGCAACACTTCTGTAAAGACGGTACCGCGCCACCTGTCGGACAGCGGCTCACCCTCTTCCTCGACGATGCGAGCACGCTTGAGCATGCGCAGCACGGAACGAAGACCTTGCACGTGAGCTCCGACCTTTTCAGCCAAGATGGGCGCCTCGATTCCCGCAGAGACGTTTGGCCCAGGCAGCACCTCTGCCAGACCCAAGGTGTGAAAGGCGTGCAATGCAGAGGATTCGTGGTCTCCACACAGGAACTCTACGAGGAGCTGCGTCGGGTTGAGCGTCTTGCTGAGTGCCAACGACCAATCGTTGCGCCACGAGTCTGCCAGGTGTTTGGATGCGGGCGTGTAGGGAAAGACCCAAGCTGCGGAGGGGACAATGGGAGCATATCCATCTTGCTGGGAAATGTACTTGATCAGGTTCTGGCGTCGTCGGGAGGGGGTGCGTTGCGTCGTCGTCAGTCGTCAGCAGCGCCCGCGCGCGAGATCTCTACACGCCAACTCACATCGGTCGAGTCGCGCAACTGCTTGAGAGCAGCGAGTTGACCTTGCTTGTCCCAGGGCGCCAGTCCGCTCATATCGTGAGTGGGTGCTGTCGAGTGGGTGCGAGTGCGTGAGTGGGTGCTGTCGAAGTGGGTGAGTGTGCGCTCGCGAGGGTGCGTATGGGGCCGCGTCGAGGAATGTCGAGTTGCGCGCGCCTGAACGTCACCACCGTGCGAATGTTGACTTGTGCTGATCGTCGCGCGGACCATGAATGCGTAACACCAACTCTGCAGCAGCGTACGGCGGCGAGGCGGCTCGAGCGGCAATCAAACTCGCAAGAAGACGCTATATTCGGGCGTAGCATATGGATGTGCTGCATGGGTGTGAGCGAGCGAGCGAGCGCACACGGCATGCGGACCACCTTGTGCTGTGGTGCCGCCGCTCGCTCGCAGATCATGTCTCAGCTTGCGCGCTGGCGGTTTCTCCGAACAAGTGTCCACGTTCGCCAAGTGAAACTCTGCCCTCGAGATAAGCAAGCGCAAGCAAGCACGCCGCGCGTTGGTTGTTGTTGTTGCCGTTGCATTCGCTCGCGCGGGCTTTGTCCCGGCAAGTCCATGCATGCATGCACCCGCCCGACGACGAGGTCGTCATTGAAATCTGCACGTCCAGCATCTCTTCTGCCACGACATTATTGAGCTGCCGCATGCTCGACTCCACCCGACGCTAATGCAAGGAGCGCAGCGCATGCAGAGGGCAGATACTTTGTGACGCCCACCTGCGTCATTTGGAAGGTTTTAGGGCGAACGAATTCGGGCTTTCTAGCGGGGTGAACGCGAACGCGACCGCGACCGCGAACGAATTGGGGCTCTTTCGCTGGGCGAACCAACTCGGCCTTTCGCGCCCCCCACACACTAGCCCAGTGCACATCGTTTTCTCGGAACGGGCAATGGCGTGCGACCTTGAAGAGGATGTGCGTAAATCCTTAAAGAGTTAGGGTTAGGGTTAGGGTTAGGGTTACATACAGGTTCCCAAAGGGATTGAAAAACAACATGGGCTCAGA